TACCAAAATTACTTTACACTGTCAACTGTATTTACATTATTTTTATTTTTGTTGTTTTATTTAGATTTTTTGTTTAGTTTGTTAGTCATTATATATATTTTTTTTTTAAAGAGTAGTAATAATAACTATACCATTCATATATAAATTATATTAATTATATTATAATAAGTTAAATGCCTTATTTAGTCAATAAGATGCCAATCATAATACTTATTGTTTTTGTCTATTACCTATGTTAGTCAGGCATTTCAAAACACTAAAATATAATCAAAATGTCGGAAAATCGTTTTATTTATTTGTAATTTAGCTACTAAAACACAATTTAAGGAACTAAATTACAAATTTAGTATCGATAACGAGCTATGTTAGAACTTATTTAAATTTATTGCGTATAAAGTTGGTTAGCACTCGGCATATTTTGGCTGTTGAAAATAGAAATGTTTTCGTRARTAAAAATTTCAATTTCATAAAAATACATGCCATTATATAATTTGGAATATTTTATTTATCCGTTAAAATGTTTTAATTGCCTGATATTTAATTTGGTTTTACTGATATATACGATCAAATAATTAATTTGTACCTATGATAAAACATAACCGATTAAGGTCAGATTTTAAAGATATGGGTCATTTTCGGGTGCTATCTTTGTATAAAATTTAATATGCACTTTTATATAAACGAAGCAATACAGGTTGTTTTTTTTAATGTGGAATGGTTTGCTTCTTTTGAAATTAAACTTAGTGATCGATCTCAGTTATGTGATACCTATTACATGTTTGTTACTAAACACTATAAACAAAAAAAAAATATGGTATTGTTCCTTTCGAACTACTTGAAACTTACTTGGCTTATTAAATGTACCTATTATTTTTTTAAAGTAATATTTTCATTGTAAATATAAAAGATTTTTCTGGGAATACATATGTTTTTTTAATTTTAAAATAATTAAGCACGTTTCATTTCTCCGTTTTTGGCTACCGAATTCTTTGAATTTGTGACATACTAATACTAAACTATATAGATCCCTGTGTTTCAATTTAACACTTTTTATATCACGTGAAATTAATTTTAATCATCTGAAAGTCGTTAYAGTAATAACATTCAAAAGCTTTATTATTATGGTTTCATTCATGGCTGGTTTTTTTCTTTTAAATTATTAAACACTGAAATTGCACGTAGTTCCTCCCTCAGTTGAAATTGAACAGTTTACTATGTTTTTGAAATAATAATTTAAAATATGTTATTGCGACAATCATTAAAATATTCGTTTGATTTTGATTTAGTCGTTTCTGTTTCAGTGTGCTTGTTGTGTAGATAACATACGTAATTATATAAACCTTTTCATATTATACCCATTTAAATTTGGTCGGACGGTTTCTGTATATTTGAAGATGGCGTTTTATCATTCATTCATATGCGTAGCGTTATGATTTATCTGAAGAGACTATATAGCCTATTATATGTTTCTGGTAAACAACATATATTCTAAAAATTTAACTAAAACAAATTTACGGGATGAGAACTAAACGAAAATCCTAGGGAGACTATAGAAATCCCCATTCTACGCCTATGTATTTATTTTTAACTTCTTGAATTGATTATTCATGAAACATAATAAAATATTTTAAGTAGTACATTTATGAATTGTACCCATAATAATATGTACATCAAACTCTTCATAACATTATTATGCTTACACTGAATTTCAGATTTATGTCTGTTTTTTTTTTCGTTTCGTTTTGTTTTTATTTATATTTAATAGAAGACTGATCGAAAATAACACAGTTGTTTGTATAATATTTATCAATTAACTTCAAACCGTATATTGTTGCTTGTCATCAAAAAATATTACGATGATAAAACGATTCAAACTGTTTTTATTTGGTAATCGCTAACTAATATAATTCTCTACATACTGTATTGAACCCAACATTAAGAAAATAACAAACACTGTCCAAGTTACATCATTCAGTATTTTCATTGCGCATCCATCAGGGTTTTCAGTTTATTGTATATTTTGTAGGAAACAATCTATTTACTTTATCTTCGTATAAGTGTATGGGGCGGTTAAAACCATTTTTTAAAGGTAGGGGAACATGGGGCAAAGTGGGGACGCTAATGTTTGAAGGCCTGTAATTCACTTAAAAATCAATTTTTTCCTTTCAAATTTTGTTWACACAATGTTTATGTTGTTGTTATTGATTAAACATTTATTATGAAAATTTTTATTTTTATTTTTCGAAGTTGAAAAGGATGTAAAAAAAAGTACATTTTACCCCACTTTG